GGGGGCGTAGTAATATGCCTGGGCACAGGCTCAATTCACACTTACGTCCGATCCCGCCTCCGGTCTTCTTGACTCTGTCTTAGCAGCGGTTGCAGGTAGGTGAGGGAGGAGAGTGTGGTAGATTCTGCGCAAGTCTATCGTCATTATAAACTAAGTGACCGTTTCTGCGCTCTCCCCGACTTGCGACACACGGTGGATGTCGTCGGTAATGATGATCAAACTGGCTTGTAGAATAGCCTTGACAGAATAATTGGGCACCCGGTGTATCGGCTGACAATTAACCGGGCTTTGAGAAGCAGTAGCCGGACTTTTCAGATTCATGCTCGAACTCATCATCAGAGGCAGTATCCGATACCGACTTTTTACACTGTATATAACAGTGATCAGGATGGAGAACGTTGTATCTTGGATTTGATATCGGAGCTAGTGCATTGTAACGGATGTGCCGATTTTGGTGGTGTTAAACCCTATTGATGAGTGGACCCGGCGCCACCTTGTAGATCAGACAAATTGTCTAATCAGCCTCTGCTTCTAATCTTATTACCTGTCGCCACGGTCCAGTCTAACCACCGGAACATCATGAAGAGCGAAATTAAAATAAACAGTGGTATTCACAATAATTCGCTTCACACCAAAATTAAGCAACGGTGGTCATCAATCGACACAGTAGACGAACGATTCTTGTGTATTTGGTTGTTTGCGTTTGTTATATCATAAATTAATTTACCCTAATACCTTTCTTTTATGTCCATTTAGGTGTTTTGTTCAGTTAAATTGAAATTTCTGTTCTGTAACCGATGCCATGAATGGAGGGCGTAGTATGATCGTTTCCTCTGCTTTAAGATTATTTCTGTCAGATGACAGTTCGTCCGTGGCTACCGACAATTTCCATGGTGTGCCTTACATCCTGGTGGACGGTGGGATGCTGACTTGCTTGTGAATTAGTTCATAGTATTAGTAAAATTTCGAAGCATCTATCGTACTCTCCTCATTGATCCACTTAGGTCCGGTGTTAAAACAGTCAAAAAGTTGGATGGCGGGATGGAGCGCAGTAGCTGACAAGGCTAAATAGTCTCTTCATGTGTGCCACACATGTCTGGTCCGCGCAGCTCAGTGGCATTGCCACAGAGGCCTGCATCTCCGTGTTGAGGGACGGGTCGACGTGTCCTTTACTGTTTTCAGATACCATCTCCTGCTCACCC